TAACCCTAACCCTAACCCTAACCCTAACCCTAACCCTAAACCCTAACCCTAACCCTAACCCTAACCCTAACCCTAACCCTAACCCTAACCCTAACCCTAACCCTAACCCTAACCCTAACCCTAACCCTAACCCTAACCCTAACCCTAACCCTAACCCTAAACCCTAACCCTAACCCTAACCCTGAGGAATGTCAGCATGGCAATAAGATAGCGTTGGAGATCCCACGCCACACCCCATTCGTGGCGCGTGCGTGCTGCCTTCTGAGCGCTGCTGTAAGGCCTCGAGGGCTCGTCGTCATCATCATCGTCGTCATCATTGTCGTAGTTGTCCTCCACGTCTTTGCCGCACCGCTGCTGATGTTGCCGGTAGACTCGAAGTTCTGGCAGCAGGTGTTGCCACTTTCTGCGAAACCAGTGGTATGCGCAGGCACCTTCCTCCTGCATCACCATTCTCCCTTTTGTTGTTGTTGTTGTTGTTGTTGTTGTTGTTGTTGTTGTTGTTGTTTTTGTTGTTGGTTGTTGGCACAGTTGCAAGCACACACACACACACACACGCACACACACACATATTTATGGTTGTAACATGTGTCAGTTGTGATCACAAGATAGAGAGAGAGAGAGAGAGTGAGAGTTCATACCCTCGGCCATGCGTAGCTTGGAGTGTTGTAGCATCGCACGTTGTCTCAAGCCTTTTGCTTTGGCAATTCCAGCTGCATCCCGCAAGCTGTTGAGCACCATTGCAGCTCCCTCATAGTTGCTTATGCTGTTGCGCTTGAACACCAAGCACCACTCTATGAGTTTGATGACATGGCTGATCTTATTGTGCACAGTATTCGCTCTGTCATAGAAGAGGTTGAGCCAGCTGATCCAGGCCATTATCCACTTATTGTCAGACAACACCTGCAGCGTGGGCTCCATTCCTGTGTGGCATGTGTGTGTGTGTGTGTGTGTGTGTGTGTGTGTGTGTGTGTTAGGCGCATGTGGTGTGAGTGAGAGACCTAGCACTACCAACACTATGAGGGTTGTTGGTTGGTATATGATGATGATGATGATACATGAAGTTGATGATGATGATGATGATGACGATGACAACGAACCTTCCAACTTGTGGAAGTAGCCCAAGAAGGTCAC